TGTTCTCTGGCTGAAATAAATATCTTCTTGAATAATTTTCCAGTGTTTAGTTTCTATTTGTAGCATATTTAGGGGCTTCTTTTTCTATCTGGTTTAACAAATAATCTAAATTTTTTAAAAATTCTTTGGCAGTATTGGCAAATAAGTCATCTAAAATCTCCGGTTGATAAGCATGAACTGTAACATTCCTTTTTTGGATATAAGCAAATCAGATTTCGGCGTCTTTCAGTAACTTTAAACGAGCCGCTTCACGAAAAACGTCCCGAGCTGCACCCACTTCCACTCCTCTAAATTCCAGGACTTTTTTCATTATCTTTCAAGATAATTCATAGCAAATTTCAAAGGCTTTTACTACCCCCATTTTCTCAGCTTCATTCTGAGAAGTTTGGAGAATCCGGTCCAGAGTGTTGCGGGCCTTTACCAAAGAACTATAATCAACTGTTCCGTAAAAATATTGTTTCTTCATTATATTTAATTTTTTATTCATTTCAATTAGACAATAATATGAAAAAAAGAAAGGGACAAAAATTCCGTTAATATTTTCCGTGTTTTTTAAATTTTAATTTTGAATAAGGGTTGCGATAGTATACCGTGACAAAGCATTTTTTATCATTTTTTTCAAACTCGCCAATTTTGCCAATAATTTCTGGCTGTCAGGGAATATAGACTGAAATACTAATAACTTGTTCTTCCAAATAAACGATAAAAAGAGTGGTTTTTTGGTTAACTTTTTCTCCTTCTCGGACCTCGCATTGGAATATTTTATCAAGCGGCATGGGATTTTTTCTATCAACTTGAATATTTGTTAGCACTTGTAATCCTTCTTTATTAGTAATTTGGATAGCATAATTGGGATATATTTTGCTGATAATTCCTGAGAGAGGACTCTTAACTTTTCAACTTTTTAAATCGCAAAAATAGTAGGCTTTGCCAACTAATGATTTTTCATTTTTTTTCATAATTCGGCCTCGGACGGGAGGGGCAAGTTCTACTGACCACCAACCAATTAGCCAGAGCAAGAATTTTTTTAATTTGGCCCAATCAACGCTGAACTTCATATGATAATTTTATCCGTTATCTGTTTTTTTCTTTCTTGGCTTGGAAAATTCATTTTCAGAATAAAAATTCGCTAAAACTCTCAATTAAAATCGGGGTTATATTAACAAATTAATTTTTTAGATGTTGAGTAACTATTTAATATTTTTTGGATAATCGCCTTTTTCATTTGAATTGAATAACCAGCTCCGTTATTAACCAATTCTACCAACATATCCAATATTTTGAGAGCCTGGGGAGTTATTTGAAATTCGTCAAAGATTACCCCTTCGCTAGTGCTTCATAAAAGGTAAACATTTTTGCCGGTACATAAATATTGAATAAGCAACTGAATTTCAAAAATAAGTAGTGCTAATGGGCTATCATTGGCCTTAATATTACTAGTTTTCAACTCAATAATATAATCTTGAAATTCTAAATCAACATAAGTGGCTAATAATTCGTCTTTGTAAAAAACATGATGAAGTTTTTCGCTACCTAAAAAATGCCCCAATTTTAGTGATTTATTCTTCTTAAAAAAATTAATTGTCTCGTGAATTCTTTTGTCTAATTTATTTAATTTGGCAACTTCGACTAAATCAACAAAGGAGGGATAATTGCCGCTTTGCACAAATGCTTGAACCGCATCGTGAAAATTTTTTCCTCTTTCAGCAGCTCTGAGAAGAATATATTCAGGAATTTCTTCGTATTCTATTTCTCGCAAAATTCTAGTAAGGGTGCTGGCACTCAGTGCCTTTTTGCCTCCATGGTATGGCCACAATTTGCCGGTTTTTTCGATAACCAGAAATTCCACTTCGGATCGAGGCTTGTTAGAGATAAATTTGTTGCTAAATTCTTTCGGAGTTTCAGTAAACTGCTTGCTGCTTAAATTTGGTTCTTTATTCATAATAAATTAAACTTCATATTAAATTATTTTAGCCCACCAAGGAGAAAAGGGCAAAAATGTTTTTTCCTTACTTACTTAACGACTATAAACATAATTATATATAGGTAAGAGCGTAGAACCTATATATAAAAAATTAAATTAATGATGACAAATTAATCAGAGAAGGATGACCAGTAAACGAACAAAGCAAATAATAAATAATACAAATAATATATGGAGACAGAAATAATAACGAAATAAAAGGAGTGCTAAATAAGAAAAACAAAAACAATTAAGGAACTTATGAGGTATTCCAAACGACAATAATATGTAAATTTCTTAATTGTCTAGGGCTAAACTAGTTAAAAATAGCAAAAAGAAAAAAAATTTCGGTTGTTAATTAACTGAGAAAAACTTCCCTACAAAATTATGTTCAAGAAGATATTTATTTCAGCCAGAGAAC